TGCCCATTCCAAGCGTGACCGCCTGCCCTCGACAACCACCCCGCTGCCCAGACACCGATTAGTTGTCTAGTTACAATTATGCTCGTGTATTTAATAACGATTCTTCCTTTTCCAAAAACATTCGCTGCAGGTGCTGGCACTGACGGCGTGCATCGCGGAGAGCGGCGGGCTGCGCAAGCGGGACAAGGCGGCGCTGCTGGCGCAGGTGGAGGCGGATCTAAGGGCGCTCAACCTGGGCGGTGGCATGGGCACCTGAGCGCTCGGCCAGCTGGGGGGCGGCCTTGTGCTGCCCAGCGCTGCGGCTGCGCCTTGCTCGGCAGCAGGTGGCGCCTCTCGATGCCCGTCAGACTTCCCGTACACATTCCCAACTCGCTATTGTTTCCCATGCCTGACCCTATGCATTCCTTTGCTGCCCCAATGGTCGTTCGGCAACTGCTTGTACACATCGCTGCCGGAATCTAGCCCCACGCCACAGCTGCCACTGTAGCCAACATCCCACCTCGCCATAGCTTGGCTCTAACGGGGCGACGCACCATGCACATGATGTGCCAAGCGCATTACAAAACCTCAAACAAAGTAAACAAACATGGAGGGCTGCCCCGGCAGCCCGGCCCAAAAGAGCGCATGGCAGCGAAAGAGAGGCATAGGCACCCACCCATGCACTACGAATAGTCAGCACCGTGATTGGAGAGGGGTCAACCAGTCAAACTCGAGAGGGTGGATCTCAGGGAGTTGGCAGCTGGCCTGCTGCAGCTCTGCCTGCCTGGAGGAGCCGGCGGGGCGGCAGGGACCCCTCCCCGTACAGCAGACCAATACTTTGGCTACTGGAGGCGCAGCTGGGGCCGCCTGCGCTCCGCGCCGCCACCTTCCTAGGTGCTGGAGAAGGGCGAGGCGGGCTGCCCGGCGGGCGGGTAGCCGGGGGCGGGCGGGTAGCCGCTGGGGGGCGGGTAGGCGCCCGGCGGGGGCGCAGCGTACGCGCCGGGCGGCGCGCCGTAGTAGGACGGCGGCGGCTGCTGGTAGGCGCCGGCGGGGGCCTGGTACTGGGGCTGGGCGTAGGCCCCTGCGCCGGGGAGGGAGGGCGGGACCCGAAAAGGAGGGACAGGGTGGGACGCGGGGTGCACGAACACGGATGCGGCTGTGCACGGCAAGGCCAGATGGGCTGCTCCAGTTGCCGCTGCTGGAGAAGGCAACACCAGGCGAACCAGCTGGTCCGGCCCAGCCTCCCAGGCCAACGAGCACCACCAGCCAGCCCAGCCAGCAACCCCATCGCAATCAAACAAGCGGCCTCCAGCCACCCCAGCCCGGCGGCGCACCAGTGGGGTACGCGCCCTGCGGCGGCGCGGGCTGGCTGGGCGGCGGCTTGCCGCGCATGGAGGCGCAGTCCTTGAGGGACATGAGGAAGCAGAGGGCAAAGATGCCCATCTGGGCCCAGGCCAGCGCCCACACGGCTGCAGGGGTATGTGTTGAGGGGCATGGCGTGTTGAGGTGAGAACGAGGGGCGGGCGGGCACGCAGGCCCCGGCGCAGCAGGCAGGCCAGGCGGCGCGGCGCGGGCAGAGCGGCAGCAGCACTGCCGCACGCGGCGGCGGGGCGCGGCAGGGAGCGGCGTGGCGGAGCAGGCTCAGCTGCCAGCAGCACGGCATTGCTCCCGCACTCACATGTGCGCCAGCCCTGCTTGTCCTTGAGCACCTGCGCGTACGCTGAGTCGTTTGTGTTGCCGTAGTCGTCGGCGTTCTGGCCGTATACCATGCCTGCAGGAGGGAGGGAGGAGCCAGCGAGTGGGGGGATAGAGGGGCAGGGCCGATCGGAATTGCCCCGCGAATTGAGCCCCTGGCTGGCGGGCGGATGGGGACGGCGGCAGGGTTTCAGGGGCGGCTGGGAGGGATTCACAGGAGGGAGGGAGGCGGGGCGGAGGGTCCAGAGGCCAGGAGCGCGACAGCTTGTCGACAGGCTGCGTCTCAAGCCAGCCAGCGCCCGCCCCTGCCGCGCCCAGCGCGCCGGCAGCCCCCACCTGTGACGGCGCAGCCGATCCACCACAGCGTGGCCAGCAGGCAGACCATGACCTCACACACGGGGATGTGGCGGCTGCGACCCGAGCACAGCTGCAGGGAGGCGGCGCATGGGGGGGCGGCGAGAGGCACGGCAGGCAAGGAGCGAGTCAGGCAGGGGCAGGCAGCACGTTGGCTGGGCTGCGGCGGCAGCGCGAGCACGAATGCGGCTGCGGTGCGTGCGCCGGCCGCGCCGCCATGAGCAGCAGCAGCAGCAGCAGCAGCAGCAGCTATGCAGCAGGCAGAGGTGCCCAGCGCGCCTGCATGAAGAAGAGCCAGAGGGAGAAGAAGAGGCCCACGCCGGCGGCGGCCCAGGAATAGTAGCAGATGTTGACACTGCAGCAGGCGGGCGGGTGGGGGACGTGCGACGAGGCGTGAGGCGCGCAGGGGAGGGGGGGCCAGCGGCTGGCTGAGGGCAGGGCTGAGCGGCGGGCGGCGCCCGGACAGAGCGCATGCTCCCGCAGCTGCCGCCGGTTGCCGGTGGCAGCCCCCCTGGGCCGCCGCGGCACCCACCTGTCCTGGCTGTCTGGCGTTTGCATCTGCACACACAGGCAAAGACACACACAGACAGAGCACAGGCACGGGATGAGTCGATGCCACCTTGCGGCAAGCAACGCTGCGAGGGAGAGATGCTGCGGCGCGGGCAGGCAGGGCAGGCAGGGCAGGGCGGGCAGGCGGGCAAGTGGGGGCGGGCGCTGCCTCACGCACGTAGCAGGTGTTGGTCCAGTAAGATATGTAGCCTCCATAGTAGTAAGTGGTGTCTGCAGGTGGTGAGGGGAGAGGGATTGGGGCCGGTCAACAGGCAGCGGGACCAGTCGGCTGCCGCGGTAACAACAGGTGTGCGAAAGGGCGCGGAGCGCAGCATTGCGAGGGTGGCGCAGCTGGCAGGCGCGTGCCGGGGCCAGCTTACACCAGAGGTAGGAGTTGACGATAACCAGTATGGCGATGGCGCAGCCAATCTGCGAGGAGGGGTGGGGCGGCGGCGGCGGAGTAGCGGCTCGATCAACGGCGGGCGGGCGGGCCACTGCTACACGCCTGCACCCTCTCAGCGCAGCGTGCCGCGGGCACCCGGGGACTGCTGGCGACGCAGCAGGGGCTGGTCGGGGCCTGTGCTCGAGAACGGCCGCGGCAGATGAGCGAGACGCGGGCCTGCACACCGCTGCCTGCTCACCGTCAGCAGACCCGACAGCATGTACACGGGGCCATAGGGATTACCCTGCCCCGCGTAGGCGCGAGCCATCGTGGCTTGCTGTTTGTGGGAGCTGTCGAGGATTCGGCCGGGTACAGACGTCCACAAATGATGCTGCAAGATGTAGGCAGTCGGGCAGGCATTGCAAGGGGCTGTGAGGCGCACGCGGCGCCACTGGGGTCCGTCCAGCTGGCAGGGATTTCAGTGGAGCTTTGCGCATCGTTGCATGTTCGATCCATCTTGTGCACATCCATATTGCTTGAGAAAGCTCCCCATCACCTTGAGGGCCTGCCCAAATTTGCTGCCTGCCCATCACCTGCACCCCAGCTCGTTCCCGCCTGCTCAAAGCGATCCAGCAGCAGCGCCTCACACTTTGAGACGCTCCCTCGACGCCGCCGTCACCACCAGTGATGGCTTCCGACGGCGGCAAGCCGGGCGGCTTCTCCCTGAGCCTGGGAGGCCCCGGAAAGAAGCCGGGGCGGCGACTGGTGGACGTGCAGGGCGGCGGCAGCGATGCGCCGGTGCGGGAGGAGGTGCTGGGCTTTGGCGCCGACGGCGGCCTCAAGACGGCGGCGGCGCCCGGGCCCAAGCGCGGGCCCCTCCTGATTACCAAGCAGGAAAACTCATACAGGCATGCGCAGGATGCGGGACGGGGGCTGCAGGCCGCACTACCTGCGCGAGTTCTGCATGAGAGAAAGCGCTGCGCGGGCGGCAGCGGCGGTGCCGGTTCGCACGTGACGCTGGCGCCCCAGCCTGCGCGTTTTGTTGCTGCCACCGCTGCCACCCTCTGCCCCGCCCCGCAGGGTGGGCTCCAAGTTCATGCCCAGCTACATCCCAGAGGCCTCCGACAAGGTGGACACAGAAGGGATAAACAAGTTTGAGACGGCGGCGCACGACACGGCGGTGGCGCAGCAGGACGTGACGTATGGCCTGCACGTCCGGGCGCGGCCGCAGGTGGGGGCGGGACCAGGCGGCACACGGGCTGGCTCGCCACCCAGCAGGGAGGGCAGGGAGGTAGCGCGTTGTGTTTCAGAGAGGCATGGGGCATGTCGGGACCGCCTTGGCTGTACCATGCAACTTGAGGCACAGGGCCTGTGCCGGGACGGGAGGGTCTTCTTTTCCGCACTCCAGCTGCCTGAGCCTGCCGCCGCTCCTACCCGGCCCGAGCTGCGCCGCAGGAGGGCGCCGAGGAGTGGCGGGAGCAGCAGGAGCAGCAGCCGGCGGCGGTGCCTGCCGACCGGGAGGCCGCCAAGCTCAAGTGAGCTGGGATACCCTGGTATCCCTTCCTCCCTCCTCTGCTGCCCCGCGGATCAACGGTTGCTGCCTCTGCTGCTGCCATCAGTGCCGCCGCTGCTGCTGCTGGGGTTGCTGCCGCAGCCGCCCTGCCGCCGCAGCTGCCTGGCATCGGGCTGGGGCCGCCTCGCCCACTTCCGCGTGCGGGCCGCCGCTGAACTTTCCACCCCTGCTTTCCACCTGCAGGGAGGACCTGGATGGGCTGCCTCCAGAGGCAGACCTGGACGCATATGCCGCCATGCCTGTGGACCAGTTTGGCATGGCGCTGCTGCGGTGAGGCGAGCAAGTGCTCCCTGCTGCCGCGCCCGGCCGCTTGGATCGGTGCTGCGCCGGGCACGCGGTCTCCGGTGCACGGCTGCGCTGCCGCGGAGCCGGACCGCAGGGTACGGCAGGCTGGCTGGCTTGGGGGCGCCAGGGAAGCTGGCGCCGGCTGTGCTCGGCTCCCTGCTGCCCGCTGCCCGCTGCCCTGCGACAGAGCCTGACTGGCATGCCGCCGCCGCCTGCGCGGCCTGGGCTGCAGCGGCATGGGGTGGACCGAGGGCGCGGCGATAGGGCGCAATGCCAAGGAGGAGGTGAAGGCCAAGGAACTCGTGCGGTACGTGGCGGCAGGTACCTGCGTGGCGGCAGGCGCCTGCGGGCAGCTGCGCTGGCGGGGCTGCCGGCGGGGGGGTGCCACCCCGGGGCCGGCAGGCCAGCGGCAATGCTACCACAGCCTTTTCGTGGGGCTTTTCCGCATTGCCTGCTGTGCTGTGCTGCTGCCGCCGGCTGTTCCTTTCACCGCCTGCCGCCTGCCTGCCCCGTCCCGGCGGCGCTCGCCTGCCGCAGGCGGCCGCAGCGGCTGGGGCTGGGCGCGGCGCCGGCGCCGGAGCAGGCCAACAAGAAGTTCATAAAGCCGGGTGCGCCTTGCGCCGCACCATGATGTGCTGTGCCATGCTGTGCCGCGCTGTGCTGTGCCATGCCGTGCTGCGCTGCTGCCTGCCCCGCAACCCCTTCCATCCACTCACGCTCTGCTACTCCTTGCGCCACCGGAAACCGGCCCTGCCCAGCCCCTGCCGCCTGTCGCACACTTGTTGCCCACCTGTCGCCCACCTGGCATGCCACGCCCTCATGCCCGTGCCTGCCTGCCCGCGCGCCTGCCGCAGGGGAGAGCCGTGACCGGCCCGACCTTGTGTATGTGGACAGCCAGGGTGTGCAGCGCAGCAGCAAGCCCGTGGATGAGAAGCTGGTGGAGCGGCGGAGGGAGGGGGTGCACCCTGGGAAGGCGAGGAATGCGGCGGCGCTGCGTGGCGCGACGCGGGCCTGCCTGCCTGCCTGGGGCGCAGGCAGCAATCACTTGAGGCACTGCTTGAGCAGCGGGCCAGCGGCCCGCGGCTGCGCCTGCCGGCCCGGAGCTTGGCCGCCGCCGCAGCTTGGCGTGCTCTCGGCCTCGGCCTCGTGGCAGAGGAAGGGAGCGGGGCTCGGCGGCTCCCTCGTGTGACCCCTGTGGTGCCTCCCTGCCTCCCTGCCTGCGCTGCCTGCCTGCAGGTGATGCGGGTGGTGGATGGGCGGCACAGCGGGCTGCTGTGCGAGGTGGTGGCGCTGGAGCCGCACCAGGAGGGGCGATCAG